CCCCAAAACCCCAAAACCCCAAAACCCCTAATCTCTTAATTTGAGAGTAATGCAGATAAATTAGGATTTAAATAGTTAGCTATAAGAACTATCGAAAAGAATGCAATTCAAAATTTTAGAGAATTCATAGGGACGCGTGTTAATTGTTAAATTTTAGCACGTGTTTATTAAGTAATTTTACTAGAGATAAATTCAGATCAGTGAGTGCTGTGGAAGTCTGTGAAGAATGGGTAATCTTGTTCATTTTTCCACCACTTATCTTACTTCTTCTCAGTTTTCTCTTCTCTATTCTCAACCTTTGGAACTTCTTCTTCTTTAGTCTCAGTCTTAGTTTCAACCTCCTTAGTCTCAGCTTTTGTCTCAGCCTTGGTTTCAGTTGCTGCAGTAGTTGATTCAACGGTTGAATTGTTGGTTGGAATCTCTGGTCCAACTGGGACGATAATGTCCTTGGTAGTGTTTTGAGTAGTCTCATTTTTGGTTGGTTCAGTCTTGTTGTGGTGATGATGGTGGTGGTGTGAGTGATTGGAATGATGACGTTTGTGCTCAAGTGGTTCAACTTCCTCCTCTATCTAATCAATTTCCTTCTACTAATGCTTTATCTCTCTGAATAACTCAAATAATTCCTCATCAGTTTGCATTTAGGCATCTCTCTTTGGGGTAGCAATATATGAGTTGTCTGGGACGTATCTGCTAATAAGCTTGTTGTCTAGCTTTGAGTAATGAGTTCCCTCAACTTGTGGTTGAACTCGATCAATAGCATACCTAAAGTTAGGGTTGTTTAGCCATGGTTCGATTGTGAATCTTGGTTCTCTGAGTTCTGATTAGGGAATTGGAATACTGTGTTATTGCTTTGAAGCTTGCACGTCATAGATAACTTCAGGTAAATAGTAATTTTGAGAGTAGATTGGAGCAAATTGCTGGACTAGGAGGTCTTCTCCATTTGAGCCAATCAGCTCTTCTCCGAAAATATTGTATTGAGGCTTTCTCAATTTATTTTTAACGATTGATTTGTTTACCTGTTACTAAGGTACAGCTCTGTTCAAAATAACTCTTGGCTCAATGCTGCCATAAACAGCCTCAACCTGAGGTGCGTAGTTGTGGTAGCCAAGCATTTGCTTTCTGTAAGACTCCGGTAGTCTGATGTACTCATTTGCCTCAGAGTAGGCTTAGACTGAGACGAGACCTAGGAACACAAGGACTGAAAGAGTGATATATTTTTTCATTTAGATTTAATATAAATAATAACAATTTTTATATTAATATATCTTTTTTAAATATTATAATTCTTATATTTTGTTTTAAAATTTGTTATATGGGGTTTTGGGGTT